ATATAACATTAATCAGAATCCCCAATATTCTTATTTCGGAATTAAAATGCGTAACACTTCTCTTTTACAGGCACAAACAGAGCTGTGCCTCAGTTTCCACATTAATGAAATTAAACAATCGGACTGAAAAGATTTTTTCGAGATCTTCTTGTGGTACTGTAATTCACTCAATTTTTATGTCATTAAATTAAGACAGATGAAAAAGAGGATTTGGGGCATCATTATGTTTCCTCTGTTGGGGGGAGGCATCATTTGGTGAGAATCACCACATAACAATGCAACCCCTGGCTTGGGTTGCAGACCCCCGTGGCAGGGGCTGTCAATAAATAGCAGTCAAATGTAGCCATGTAGACCAGGACACTTGAGGAAGATTAGCCCACAGTGAGGCAAGGTGTGATCAGAGCAACAGTCTCCAGTTTTAAGTGGAGACTTTGTGACCGCTGCGCAAAGGTGTTGGAAATTTAAGGTACCATTAGCATCACACTTGTTTTCGATTAGTATTCAGACAGCAAGATAGCATTACTGTTAGGAAAGATTCTAGACTTTTCTAGGCTTGTACTTTGAAATCAAATTATATGTATATTAATATTCACACAGCACAATTCCACCTTTAGAACTTTTAGGCACGACTTCAACGTATGTACCACTTAATTATTGAGATTCCAAATGCATAAAACACCAAAGAGACTTATTTTCACTTAATAATTTTCTGCTTTACGTAAATCTGGACCCAGGAGAACAAAGACGTGACCCATCCGAAAAAAGCAAACCAAACACCACCACAAAGAAAGACCAGCCTTTTACACATTTTATTCTTCACAATCAAGCTGTTTCGTTGAAATGTGACCATAAACTAGGTCTTAACCTAGCAAATTCACAAATTAACTCAGCCAAATTACTCAGGAAGTGGAAAACTTCCACACTAATTAATGCTTGTGTTATCTTCTGGTCATTTCAACAATTTTTCTTGTGCTTCTCTTTTTTTTCCCCAAAGCAGCACCTTTAAGAAAAAAGGAGAAAAGGCCATCTCCTTGTAGTTAATAATGTCCCCCCCCTCCGCTTTTTTTGGCCAAAGAGGAAAAACCGCAATCAAAAGAGAAAACCCAAAACGCAACCAACCAAATGTCACTTGACAAACAACTAATTAATGTCTTTTCATCTCCTTCCACCTGGAAAAAAAATCTTCTCCTTAAAGCGCTCTCAATCCCCCCTCCCACCTTGAAAAGGACCAAAAAAACGCCATTTCCAGACCAAGAAGCCATTTACAGACAAATGTCATTTTCCAGTTCTATCTGATTTGTGAATGTCTTTTTTTTTCTTTTTTCACAAAGCACTCTCAATGTGGCCGACTAACAGGAAAATGTGTGTGTTAATGGTTGGGGGGGCGCTGCTGCGGGGCGGGGGGGGGGGGGGGGGGGGTGGGGGGGGGGGGGGGGGGGCGGGCATCTGCTACAATTAATTCTCTTCTTTGCTTTTCAAAAAGCCTGCATGTCTGGAAGGGGAAAAAAAGGTCATACTGTAAAAATGACGTGTCATTTGGCTTCACTGGGCACTTAGCGTAGTAACTCCATTTTTTTTTTTTTTTTTTGGTCTTATTTTATTTGATTCTCCTTCTCTTCCTTCCACGGCCCGGCCCGGCCCGGCCCAGCCCGGGACACGTCTGCTCCGCGCACACACAGTCTGTCCTGCCCGAAACGCACCAAGTCGCGCCCAGCGGCCGCCGCGCTCCCTCCCCCCAACTCCGGCGCCACGACTCGCCCGCGCCCCCTCCCCCTCACTGCACCACCTTTACCACTCCGATCCCTTCCGAGGGGCTGATGTCACCCGCCCCCCCCACTCTCCTCGGCCGCTTCCCCCGCCAAAGCCTCCCCTCGCCGAGGCCCCCTCCGCCGCCGCGGCGCCCCCCCGCGTCACCCCCTCCTTCTCTGGCCCCTCTTTCTCTCTCCCAACAAATCACACACCCCACGGAGGCGGGTCCCCTCCCTCTGCCCGCCACCCCATTTCCTGTCCCCGAAACCCTCTTTTTGTCGCAGTCTCCCGAGCCCTGTGGGACTCCCCCTCCCCCTCCCCAACACGCACCCAAACCCCTGGCGTCGTGTAGGCCTCGCGGAAAAGAGAAAAAAGAGCGAGGGGGAGGGCGAGAGAGAGAGGGAGGAAGGGCGGCCCGGGAGAGAGGGACCCGCGCCCGCGCCGCCACGGCCCCCCGCCCGAATTTGAGCCCCCGCCCAGCCGAATCTGCGCCCCGGGGTCCCCCTTCCGGCCTCGCCCCCCAGAGACAGAGCCCGCGAGCGGGCAGCGGGCTCGGGAGCGCGCGCCCGGGGCGGGGGGCGGGCTCGGCGCGCGCGGCCTGCGGGGCGCCCCGAGGGGCCCCCGGCCGGGCCGGGCCGGCGCCCCCCGCCCCGCCCTTACCCAGCAGCAGCAGGCGGTGCGTGGCCCGGTAGACCTGCTTGTCCTTCTGCAGCTGCTTCTCGATCTTTTTGTTGGCCTCGCGCTGCGCCTTCTCCTCGTTGCGCTGGTCCTCGGTCTTACTGTTTCCGAGGCAGCCCATGGCGGCGGCGGCGGCGGGGCGCGGCCGGGCTGCGGCGGCGGCGGGGCCGGGCGCGGGCGGCCTCACGCGGGCCGGGAGGGCCGGGGCAGCGCCGGGCGGGCGGGCCGGGCGCGGACTCGGCTCCTCGGGGAGGAGCGCGCGGGGCGGACTGCGGGGCGCGGGCCGCGCGAGGGGAAGGTGGTGTCGGTCGGACCGAGGGCAGCGCGCAGCTCCCCGCCCCTCGAGCCGAGGCCGAGGGGGCTGATGGCCGCCGCCGGGCCGAGGCGGACCAGAGCAGGAGCTGCGGGAGCTGCTGCCGCCGCTGCCGCCGCCGCCGCTCTTATTGCCTCGGCCCGAGCCCCGCCGCCGCCCCGACCCAAAGCGCCGCGGCGGGCGGGGGGAGGCGGGGGGAGGAGGAGGCGGCGGCGGCGAGGGGGGTGGAAGGAGGAGGAGGAGGAGGAGGGATGAGGAGCAGCCGCGGCAGCGGCCGCGGCAGCGGGGAGGGCGGGAGCTGGCGGAGGGAGGCGCCCCCCCGGGTGCCCGGGAAGGGGGGTCCCTCCGCCCGCGCCCGGCCCGGGACGGGACAGGCCGGGGAGCCGCCCCTCGCCCCCCTGGCTCGGGCCCCAGCCGGGCCAGCCGCGGGGGGAGAGGGGGCGTCTCCGAGCCAGTGACGACCCCTCGCACGACGCCAACGCTCCACCCCCCGGGCCGCGGCGCCCGGCGGCCCCCGAGGCCGCGGGCCCCCCCCTCCCGCGGGCGCCGCCGAGGGGCCGGGGTGGGCGGAAGGGGAGGGAGCGCGAGCCCGAGCCCGGACTTTGGAAAATTTTCGAAAAGAAGAGAGAGACACAGAGAGAGCCAGAGAGCAGGGAGTGTGGAAAAAGCGAGGCGAGCACGAACCAAAGGACAGAGCAACCGAAAAGGAAAATGTGTCCAAACACACACACAAATACTCAATAAAAATCCACACTACACAGCGATGGTGGTGTCTGGTGGCGGTGGCGGGGACGGGGGTGGGGGGTCTGACTAGATGAGCCGCTCGTCGCGCCCCCGGCGCCGGGCGCCATGGCCCGAGCCGAAGGCCCCCGTGGCCCCGGAGCGCCCGCGGCCTCTGCGCTTGGCGCGGCCGCCCAAGTAGGAGAAGAAGGCGCAGCCCAGGAACACTCGGAAGCAGCAGGTCGCCCCGAACACGAAGCCGCAGCCGCGGCCCTGCTCCGTGCGCTTCTGCAGCAGGAAGTTGAGCACCCAGGAGGGGCTGCGCACCGAGAAGACCAGGAAGACCACGAGGGGCAGGTGGGCGCTCAGCGCGCCGGCCTTCAGCGGCCCGGGCCGCCACACGACGCCCCCCACGCGCGGCGCCGTGTAGTAGGCATCGTCCTCGTCGCCCGAGTCCGTGTCCCACTCGGCCCATGCCCTACTCGTGCCCGCGCCGCCGGCGCCCTCGTCGCCCCCGCCGGCGCCCTCCGCGGCGCCCTCGTCGTCGTCGGCGGCGGCGGCAGCGGCGGCGGCCGCCGGGCCTCGAGGCTCCTCCGGGGCTTCTGGCACCTTCTTCTTCTTCTTCTGCATCTTCTCCAACTTCTTCCTCTCCTTCTCCTTCTTCTTCTCTTCCTTTCTTCTCTGCTCCAGCAGCTTCTTCTCGATCTTTTTTCGCTCTTTTTCGGTCAGGAACTTCTCGGGGGGCGCTTCCCGCGCCAGGTTCTTCGGGGTCTTCGGGGTCTTCTCGGTGTCCCCGCTCTTCCGCGGCGCGAGCGGCTCTCTCGGCGCGGCCAGCGCTGCAGCCGCCGCCGCAGCTTCGGCAGCCACCTCGGCCGCAGCCGCCGCTGTCTTCTTCTCGCTCTCCGCCGCTCGGGCTTTGATCTTCATGGCCATCTTCAGCATGGCGGCTCGGCCACCTCGGGGTGCCCGGCTCTCGCCTGGCCCGGGCGCCCGGTCTGCCCCCGGCCTCGGCCTGGCCGGCCCCTGTGCGCCCCGTGTCGGGGGACTCGGCTGCGATCCCCGCTGCGCTGCCCCGGGGCCGCGGAGCGCGGCTGCCCGGTCTTCGGGCTGCTGGGCTGGCTGCCTAAGAGTTAGCGCCAAAAAGGATGAGCAAACGAAAAAGGGGCGAGAACAAACCAAAAAGCACCCAACAACAGCGAGAAACCAAAAAGCACCAAGAAATGTCAAACAACTCAAAAAAGAAAAGTGCAGAGGCGCGATGGCACGAGTTTGCTGTTACCCTCAGGCGCTCCTTGGTTTGGCTCTTGGGCACGCCAATGGAGAGGAGAAAAGAGAAAAGAGAGAGAATTGGGGGCTGCCCGGGAGGCGCGGGCAGGGCGGCAGCGCCGGGGCGCCCTTGCCCTGTCCCGGCCCCGGTGGCTCTTGCCCGCGCCGGGCGACTCGCACTTCCGCGGGAGGCCACGGTGCAGCCGGACTTACATGTGAGTGAGGTGCACTCACACGCAAGGCAGTGCCTGCCTGCCTGCCTGCCTGCCCTCCGGCCGCCGGCCGCCCGCCGCCCCGCGCCGGGACAGGGGTTCGCTCCAGCCGCGGCGCCGCAGCCCCGAGCCCGAGAGCCAGCGAGCGAGCGAGCGAGCGCCGCGCCGGGCCAGCCACCTGACGCAGCCCGCTCCGCGGTGCCGAGCGACTGAGTGTCCCCGCCGAAGAGCAGCGCTCCTAACCAGCCCGATGACGCCCCAGCCTCTTCAGAGGACGGACCCACAGCGGCGGCCCCTATAAACCGAAGGGGAAGCCGAAAAATCGGCCCGCCGAGGACGTGCCCAAACAGGCCGCCGCGCACCCAGGGGGTGTGGGCCGGTGTGGGGGCGACACGGGAGTGGGTAGGGGGCGCGGGGGGCGCAGCAGCGGGAGGCGCGGGGGCGCCCAAGGCGGTGGGCACCGGACCCCGCCTCCCAGACCTGCCTCCCAATTTTCGGTGAGTGGTGTAGCCCTTGGCGGCGTGCAAAGTGTGCGACGGCGGCGCTTACCCCTGCTGCGCGCCTCCTTACCTCCAGCTTCCCGGTTAGCGCACGCGGGGACAGCCACCCACCCCTCCCTCACGGCGGCGCGCGCCCGTGGAGGTAGGTGTCGGCAAGCCTAATTAATCCTGACGCCTGGAAAGGGTTTCGGATCTGATGAGAGGTGCTATGTGAGCGCAAAGTTAGCGCGGCTAGAAGCAGGAGGCGGCAGGCTGTGCGCCGGCGACACGGAGCCGAGCAGTGGTGGCCGTGACTGCGGAGTCGGTGTACCCGGCGTCCACCCAGGTGGGCGAGGTGGTGGGCCCGGGTGTCCCGGTGGGCTCTGCAACAGAGGGAAAAGTACTTTATTGAACAGGAATTTGTTTGCAGATTGTTTACAAACTCTAAAGTGTCCCCACACTAGGATGTGGAAGAGATCACTGGGTTAGGTGTAGCGACACCAACTTCTCAACCCCCGCTGCTCACTTTTCCTGGGACCTTGGTTGAGTCACTTGCTGCCACAGGTGTCTGCTTTGGGGTACAATTCATTCATTCATTCAATAAATGTTTGGTCCACACACCCACCTTGTGCCCAGGTGAGTGGAGTGCCAGGTGACCAGGCTAAGGCAGGTGACTGCCATTGGTGGGCGGCAGGCACACCTGCCAGTAAACTCAGACAGACAAAATAATTATGAACTGTCTCCCACCTTTAACCTTCTGTGACTTATAAACCATCAGTAAAACTTTCGAGTTTTAGGGGGAAAGAAAGAAAGGACAGAAGCTGACCTGTAAATGAAAACACACCTATCATGCCTAGGGCTGTGGGATGGGAGTCTGGTACTTTCAGAGGCCTCGGAGCAAACTGTCGCATGTAGTTTTAAGTTTTCTTTGAAATAGAAAGACACTGTTAAACATTCAACAGCACTATTGAAATCCCCCCTTTCCCCTGGTTTGCTCAACTCAAAATAAGAAAAAGTGTGACAGATGAAGATGTCACGTATTATTTGTCTTGGCTCCTTCAGGTACACCTCTACCCCCATTCTACAAGGCCTCTTTTTTATGGATCTGAATGGACAACAGAGAGCAATTCAAAGTCACCAAAGAACACTTGGAATTAAGAACAGGAAGTAAAAGCTACAGGCCAGACCCCCATAACCTGCAGCTGCTACGGCGCCTCCCTGTAGGCCTCTGACTTTCTTGAACTCTGCTGAAAGTTGCTGCATTTGCCCTCCTCTCCGCATCCAAACTAAGCCGGGTCTTTGTCACACTTTGGATTAGAGCCTCTTTTCCATCCAAAAAATACCCTCTTTTGAAAAAACCTCAAATGAACTACTGTTCTAAGTTTATGCTTTTCACCTAAACAAAACCAGATAAAAATTTTAAATGGGTAGACCCAAACATGCTAGTAAGCCAATTCAAGAGGAAGGCCTTAGAATCGGTGATTCTGTGACCAAGAGATCACGACTCACCATCATTCACCAACTAGATTAGCAACTACTTGAAGGCCCAAGTTTTATATCTTTATATATTAAATAAAAACTTCTTGGTTGAATTTGATTAATCACTTGTTAATTTAAAAAAGTGAAGACTTATAAAGAGGAGAAACAGGCCAGAAAGTTTTGTTCTGCTCCATTTGTTCAAAAGCATCTCCCTTCCGACTTCCAATGTGGCAAAGCACAAATATATTGTATTTAAGAAGAACAAGGTAAATAGTAACAAATAAACCTTGATACTTATGCCAGTAGCTACACATTACTTCAACAAATATAATGAAGTCTCCTTGTTTGTAAATCCCTGAATTGGGTTGCCATCTCTCCCTTTTAGATAAATATCACACGTGGATTTTGAAAGGAGTGAAACTGTCCCATGTCATATACTGATACACATCCCAGGCAAGGCACAATCAGGACTACTGTCCTAGAAAGATAGAAAGCAAGGTCAGGCTTTCGTCATTTCAACTTCTAACCTAGCAGGGCCATCCTTGAAATGTTTGTTTTTTTTTTTTTTAAGTGTAGGTTTCACCTATATTTTATTATGACCAACCACTGATGGACAAATAAAGCATTTACTTTGTAAATAAATGACAGCAGGTGGAATCAAAGGTTTATAGGTAAGCAAAAGACACGAAGAGCTCTGAAACACAAGCTCGTTTGTGGTCTGTTCGGCTTTCTGTTTTCACTCGACACAAAGTGAAAGATGAGATTTTACTTAATTGGCATGGTGAGCTGACACTGTCTACAGTTTTCCGTCTAGCATTTGACCTACCCGGGGCCTTAAAAGTTTTATTTTTTTAAAAAAAAGCCTTTTCAGATTTGCAGGCCACCATGCGTGACCTTTTCATATAAATTAGTAATTTATTTTAATAGGTCGTTACCATTTTAAGTACCTGGTTTATGCTTTGAGAGTAGAGCAATTCATTAGCATAATTCTTGGAACAGTCCCGACTAGAGAGTTTTCCAGTGGGGCCTCTTACTTGGCCCGGGGAGAGATAGAAGTTATGGAAACTTCAGGCTCCAGAGAGGGGAAAGGGCCAGAATGTTCTGAGTATAAAACGCCCAGAGAGGGCACAGGTCCCTCGCTCAGGTGATTTGCTTCATGCCAAAGCCAGCAAGTTGGGATAATAACACACCCCTAACCTAAAACACTAGGTCACCTAATGATACAACTTGGTGAAGCAGATGGTGTCACATGCTACACAGAGGGATGGCCCAGCAACAGTTCTTTCCAACAGTGCATATTTTACAACAATGGATGGATTCATATGTCGGGGTTTGAATTTTGTGGTCTTGTAAGCTTCATATTTATGGGTGGATGTGTCCCTTGGCCCTTTTGCATCTTCCTAAGAATGCCTTGCCTACTTTTAGAAGGAATAGGCTCGCTACAGCTTAGAATCTTGAAAATATTGTTACACTAAATGATGTAATTCAGTTTTTGGACAAGAGTTTTCTTGGCCTTTCATTAGTTGGGGTTATTATAAGAGCCCAGAGAAAATATAATATTATTTTAATAGCCTAGGAAACAATAAATAAGTTTCCACTGAAACAGAAACCTTAGCTGTAAGATTGTAATAATAGTATTTAGTGCTTTCACAGTGCTTTCTGTTTTTAAAGCACATTCTGCGCTTTATTTAACTAGAATGACAAATGAATATGACTTGAAGCATGTGCTATATAGACGATGAAAGCAGGCACTGCAAAAAGCCTCTTCCTGTCCCAGTTAACCCCTGGTAAGAAGGTTCTATTACCTAGGACCATAAAGCTCTTAAAAATCTAATGTAGTGATTACCTAGGGCATTTTTTTTTTCTTGTCATATTCTCTAGTTAGTAAATTCAACCACAGATTACTCCTAAACTTGCATTCTAAACTAAACACACTGTTTATGTTAGTAAAACTTTATTTCAGGAGACTTGAAATCAAGGAATTAACTGCATGGCCATATGAAATTTCCCTATTTAATTGCCATCAACTAATTTTAAAATAATTTGTTTTAAATTCAGAACATACTCTAATCCAAACAGAATGTGGAGGCACATTGGCCAATGTTTTTGGACCCGGCCAGTGGCTTTGAGATGTTGTTCAAGCATCTACTTAATACCATGGCACATAACATGAGGGCAATCAGGACCTTTCGCGCCTTTATTGATCTTTCTTGACTCTCATGGGTGGGCCCATCTATGAGAGGAGCTCCTGGTCCCCAGGGATAACCAGTCCCCAAGGCCTTACTGCCTTTCTCACAACATCCCAAGGAGCCCCAGAGTGGGTGGAAGTGGACGTTTAACAAAGTCACTATCTACCTTAAAAGGGAGAAATAATAAAAAAGAGACTATGTGCATTATTCTGTTCCTTTTAAAACTTAAACCTAAATAATATGATAGTTGGTTGAAGATTCTAGATGGACAAAAAATTTGGATTAGGGGCATAATGACATCAACCATAGACCCATGGACCCACTTACTAGAGATCTTAATTGGGTAAAAAAAAAAAGTAAAAGTGTTACTACTCTGTAGCAGGAAAGTTAATTTTCCTAAACTATCTTCAACTTCCTTTGGGGGAACAAAGTTTCATGGAGGCCAAGGTAACGGGAAAACCTGTTGCTCAGCACTTTGAACTTGGCCTTGATGGAGACTCAGCCAGGATGGGGACTGAGGCAAGGAGGACTAGGTGACAATAGGTGTGGGCCAGCTAACTTTTGTTTTTATTTACAAGGTGCCTTATTTAAATGACATTTCAGTCCAACATCTTACTAAACAGGTAACAACAGGAAAAAATAAATAAAAAGCAGGTTGGCACAACCAAGAGAGTGCTGAGGTCCCAATAAGATCTCCTTCAGTGAAAGAATCCCTTTAAGTGTTCTCAGTTTAAAGATTTTAGGTTTTTTCACTGTATTCAATTCTTCCAATGTAGCCCCATATAATTAAGAGTTTAGAAAGTTAAACACTCCAGACTAACCAGGTAATAAGTTTTCTTTCTTTAAATGCTGCTTTGTGTATACATATATACAAATGAAACACCTGCTAAGTACAAGTTTTACATCTTGGGTTTTTACTTTATTTATCTACCAACCAAATGTGGGTGATGATTTTCAAACAGGCTTGCAATCAGTTACTAGCCTCAGTTTGGGACAAATGAGATTCCGATGGGGCTGTGGGTGTCATTTGCCTTCATAGCCAAAACCCCTTCTCTGGTCCCACTTCCATCTGCTGTTGGTAAACCCTGAACTAAGCAATTAATGTGACATAATTAGTCACACATTTAATTCATCTGGAAATGTAGGTACCTTTTCATCTTTTTGTGTTTGCCCACACACGTTTAAGCTGAAATCAAAAAATGTGTAATTATAGTTTAGCTCCACCTATTTCCCTGGGTTTTTCTTTCGAGGGGGAGCAAACCCTCAGGACACAGAGAGCCTAGCTTCCAGATGAGCAAGGCGGCCTCCTCCTTTGCACACAGCTACACACAAGCCCCAGCTCTCCTGCCCACTGCACCCTGCATGATTTCCAGTTAGCCTCCATTTGCTCAAAATTCGGTGTTTGCTGGGGAGCCCAGAGGCTGCGCCCTCCGCTCCCTCACTCAGCAGTTTACCGAGGGCTTGGCAGCATTCACAGCCCTCTCCGTGGCCTGTGAGGAGCCCACTCAACATCAGCAGAGCCCAGATGGCACTGTGGCTTTCTAAGGTCTTTGCTGACCTCTGGAAGTTATGAGGAGGAGAGAATTATTCAGCCAAAGCATCAAGTATTTGCAACCAGTCTGGAGATCAGATGAAAAGGAGATGTTTTTATGAGCTACAGACCTCAGCTCTACCCACAGCCACGTCCCAGGGTCTCTGCATGCTGCCCAGTACTGGAAAGCTGCCTCTGCCCGCTTTCTTGAACATTCCTGTCTCTCAATCGCTTTAGTCTCTACTACCTTCTCAGATTACGGTTCCTTTTGTGCTAATTACACTGAAAAAATTGAAAGAATGTCGCTGACTTTACAAAGAACACAAAGCATGCTTGCTTTAAAAACTAAATATAGCCAATTTTTTTCAGAAGGCAGACAACTCAGCTTTCAAATGATTTGTACTATGTGGATTAATTGCAGATAGCCAATTCATTTATTAAGACCCAGGTGACAGAAGGGCTCAGCTATTGGGAGGACAAATTAAAAATGTGTGTTGCTTTTGGGGGCCATTTACACAAAGTGAGAAGATCTCATTAATGATGAATTTTCCCCCCTAGTACTTAATTGTAAATTAAGACTTGCCAATGATGGCAGGCTAATTTAAACCACCATGAAAAGAGGAAAGAAATGGAAGCTGCCAATCTGTAGAAAGAAGTACCTGTACTATGCAGGTAAAAATATAAACGAAATGAAAAGAAAGTCTAACTTCTCCCCCTGGAAGGCTGTGGCTGCAGCACGAGAGGATGCTGCTTTTGCAGCCCCTGTTGTTTATTACGTAAGAAATGGTCTTTTAAAAGACAGAACTGAGAAGGATGTGCTCTCCCTGCCAGCCAAGCAAATTATGGATTACCCCCCCCCCCCAGCCACGAAATCCTCTGAGGGTTAATAGGTGACCAGTAGCAGCTTGGAATGATTTATTTTTCTAAGGAACATTAAATACTGAATTGCTCATGCTGAAATAATGCCACAGCTGTGACCCTTAGGGCTGAATTCTGGACACCGGCTCAAGTGACAGGTGTACTCGATGTATGCCCAGCTTGGCTGAAATTGTGATGCCTAACTCAAGTTTTCCCCTCGATTAATTGGTGGGGACTCTGGAGCCAGCCAGAAAGGGCCTTTTGCCACAGACACGGAAGACCATGTGTGCTCAGCCGTTCACAAAAATGCCCGCCTCAGGGGAGCATGGAGGCGCTGCTCCTTGAACAGAAAACAGGAAAATCCAGACAGAGCTTGGAACGCAGGGGAGAGAAAGTAGGAGCGGAGAGATCTGATCAGGACCAAACCCTTCTGGGTTTTAAGGCAAACAGGTCTGTCTTCTACGAAGCTCTCGGAGGATTTGAGCAATCGAAGCAAGCCTGGGGTTCTAGGAAATGTGTCACCAAAATTGGTATTATTAGAGGAAGTGGCACAAAGCTAGAAATGCAGAGTCTAATCTGTAACATACTAATTATACCTATTTTTATCGCAGGGTTGCAGTGACCTAACATCAAGAATTAAAACTCTAGAAAACTGGCCCTTCACAAGTATAAAACAGGAACACCTTGACAGGTGGGGGCCACAGGGCAAGCGTTTCACCGAGTCCCTTGGTCAGACCCAGGGTGAGAAATCAGCAGTCACCCAGGAAAGTAGCTGATTTTTGAGGGAACTTGGCAACCATGAAGGAGGGTGAGTGGGACTCTACACCAAACCTTTGGGGTTCTGGCGTAACGTCAACATGCCGCTAAGAGGGCATCCCTGAAGCGTCAAAGGCCAGCCTGAGCAAACTGCACTGTACCCACAGGGTGTCCTGGTCAGCGCAGGGAAGGAAGAAGGTTGGGTTGTGCTCTGTCAAGCCAAGAGGGATCCAGACGAAGCTCCCCTGGTCCATCCCACTGACCACACAGGCCCTGGACCCCTATCACCTGGCAAGATGGCGCCAAATGGCCAATGGAGAGAGAATCAGCTGTGGAGGCTGTCGGATCTTCCACCTTGGAGACTGGTTCCATCTCACTGAGATGATGGCTGAAGATATCAACCAACTCAAAGCAATGTTAGGTTTTTTGCATTCTTATCCCGAAAAGATCATCTCTATCTTCAGAGTAATGGGATTTTTAAATAATTGGACTTCCTGGAACTGCTTCCAAAAGCCTAGCCGTGAAAGAAACTTTCAAAGGAAGTTGATATAAACCTTAGTTAGGACCCGAAGACATCTAATCTGCAGGTTAAACGGATCCTTGATTTACTCAAAACCATTAAAGCAGCCCAAAGTCTAGAAAAACTTCACTGACGCAAAATTCTTATCATGACGTTATTAACCCGTGCCTCAGGGGGGCGCCCCATGGTAGAGTAATTTAAAGAAATCCTCAGCCTTAAAAGTGAGTTTCTTAAATGGTTTTCTATTAATTAAGCCAGTAATTATTCTAAATATATCATTTCAATGAGCTGCCATGAGTTCGTTGAATGCAAAATATGCAAAAACCAGATTGTTGACTGACTACTGTGATCCCCAAGGACACTTAATGTTTTAATCTCAGATATAAGATGCCTTCATATTTCATTTACCCTACACATTCTTAAATGTGTTACGTAAATGTGTTTTCCTCAACCTGGCATAACTACATACCTGCTATATTTACTGAGGGTACAGAAGGCAGAGAGGGGAACTTTGTTAAAAAAAAAAAAGCAGCAGCCTAAAAAATGACTAAAGAATAGAACTCTACAACAAAAATTTAGTTTCTAAAATGGATGCCAAAGGCAGAAGAGATTTTGAGAGAAAAACATACGTATAATTTCTAAAACATGTAAAGAAGGACAGTAAATCTGCAAATGAAAAAAAAGAAGCTTCCAGCAGCAAGCAAACCCAAGGGTTTCAAACAAAAAAATCACTCGGATTGATAGTAATTGAACCCTTGCTTAACCTTTCTCCCAATACCTGATAATTCTGTGAGATCACCCAGCTGTCATTCTCTTCCTTTTACAAATGTGACATTGATTTGTCTGGCAAAGACGTATTAGAATTCTGAGGTCTGATTGATGGGGCTACTAATAAATCTAAATCATCAATTCTTGACCTTTTTTCCCTGAAATTCTTGGTATGTGGTAAATTGCTGAAAACACATTTTCAAGGTTCTGTGATTGTAACATAAAAATAAGGATCAAGGCTGGGGAGCTTTGCTGGTCTGAATACATCTGGGCTCTCTCTGCCCTGCCTGCACCGCAGAGGGAAAATACGTGAGATCGATTAGAAACAGTATCTGGGGGTCGTATCGATGCTTTGCTTTGGGCTGAGCTGTTTGCAAACAGAAATGAACTGCACACGACTGAAGAAGTCCTAAAGGGAGATGTGCCAAGGAGCCATTACCCCATGGCGTGCCTCTCCTCGACTCCCGCCCTCCCCCAACTGCCTGCCTGCTTACTGAGGTGAGAGAGCAGGACAATTTGTAGCCCAGAGAGTCTAAATTGGCTATCCACACGAGAGAGAAAGAAAGAAAGAAAAGATTGATGATCTAGTCCTAGTTTTGGTGACTTTGAGATAAAAGGATGGAGGACGGGGCGGTGTCGGCTTTTTCAAGAAACCGAATCATGGATACTTTTCCTATAAAAGCAGCACTTATCCTTATCTTTCACTGGCTAGGTTAAGCTGGTTACAACCTAAGACAAAACGAGGGCAGGTGGCTGCAGGTGGCTTCAGCTCCCTCTAAATTCTAAGATGGCTGCAGGCACCAGACAAACCTTGACCCTGGGAATGAAGCTGCCAAGAGCCTGGTCATAGGATTTCTCTAGGCATGGTTCTCCCTCCCAGCGCCTGCCTGTAAGGACCGGCTTGCTACTTCACCTCTCCTTCCCTCTGCAGCAGACTTCAGATGGTCACTGCAGAAAAAGAAGAAGATGCCAACATCTTGTTCGTGCCCTCCCTGTCTGGTCCCTCAGAGCACAGGCTGGATTCTACGTCTGTTCCTTCAATTCATAAAAAGTTTATCTACAGCCTTTGAGCTGTGCTGGGGTCATGTTAGGGTAGGTGGTCGGATGAGCTCCTCCTCTCAAATACTCAGGCAAACTGGCCATCTGTAGACAAACAACCAGATGCTTTTTCACAATTGAACTTTTGACCAATTTGAGTGGATGCTTCAGCGTCAAGACGACAAAAACTCAAGTCAAAAAGGTCACCAAGAATAGGAAATTTGTGGGCGACAAAAAGCTGTATGACAGTGGGAAGCATTACATTTTCCTAGCAATGAAAATCTGAGTTTTCAGATTGTGCTAAACGACTCAAAATTTGCCAGAGCGAAGCCACAGCAGAAAGAATGGATTTTTAAAAAGGTTATATTGTTCCTATTTATTTGGCTTTGCTGCTGCCAGAAAGCGGCTTGGAGCCCTCCTTTTTAGCACTCTACAAAATATAAATGGTCTAAATTAAGCAGCTATCTAATCTCAACCAATATTAATTCTGACATGAAAAATGAGACCAACTTTTCCGACAGGATTATGATCTCTGCTGCCTGACATGAACCCATCACCTCACTACGTTTCTCAAAAAACAGAATATTCTCCTTTTCCAAAGTGCCTATTTATTTCTACAAGGGGACAAAATCCTCAAGCACTTTTCTGATTCTGACATTGAAAAGGCATCAACTCCTAAAGTGGCATGCTTTTGACCCCCAGACTCTGCCAGCTTCTATATCTTTCTTTTTTCTCTCCAAACGAAAATCGCTCTAAAATAAAATATCTAAGCACCCCCAAGGGTCATAAGTCAGGATGCTGCCCTCGTATCTTTCTCCTTGCAGACTGAACTGCCGGCCTCTAATATTGTTTTCCAAGTGAAAAAGGGGAAAACGGGTTTCAACATATTTTTCTAGTGTTTTCCCCTTAACTGGTCCAGTGAAATCAGCCCGAGCACAGGGCCTCCAGCTCCATAGCAGGCAGAATCACCGTGTATCTAGACAGAGACAGGATTTGCATTTCAGCTCGGCTCGGATGGGGAATCTGCAGTTGCTGCAGGGACGGGAGCATCTCGGCGGGCGCACCCCTGCAGTACGGCCTCGCAGTCTCAAGACCACTGCCCCTCCAGCAGATTCTGCAGGTGTTGCATTTTGCTTGTTAATCCTCTTGTTGAGCACAAGAGATAAAGTGGTTTGACTCGTAAATGTCCATAATTTACCTGCCACAAAGCCCCAAGTCCCTGCTGTTTCATTATCCGCTGCCCTTTAATAATCATCAAAATGAGAAGTGTCTCTAGCAGCATGACAATTTAGTGAGGGGAATAAGGAACCCCAGAAAATCACAAATTGTTTGGGGAAAGTTGCCGTGGAGGGTGCCTCCATAGGGGGAAAATAATGCTCATTGGTGTTTAATTCAAGACTGTGGGGTGCTCTCAGCAGTGACATCACGTTTAACAGAGACATTGTGTAATTCAGTTATAGAAAAGCAGCTGAGATGAGCAGGTTCAAATCATCTCTCCTGCTCTGTGTAATTCTCTGCTCCAGGCTCTGGAAGCAGCCTGCCTTTCTGTTGCACGGCATGAACGAGCCCTAAAACGGAGGAAGGAGGTAAAGGGATGCGAGAGATGCACCTTCCACGTCTATTTTTTTTTTCCTGTGGGATCCCTGGGGACCTCGCAGCTAACCTGGATGCACTTTGCTCCTCTTTCTTACATTCCCATTCCCAAGGCTCTTTTCAGCTGAGAGAGTCTAGGATTCTCTTTGATTTCTCTCTAAACATTGGCAGTCCAGAATCCCAGGGCCACTTCTGGGGCTTGTGGCAACCCACTAGGAAGCCTCCTATGGACTCAATGCCTAAGGTCAGGGTGGGGATTAGACAGGCCCAGGAGGGTGGGAGTGGAAATGGGCCCTTTCATGCCTGAGCTCACGGAGGCCTATTAACCTCTGGTTCTCCAACTTTCTTCCCACCCTAAATGGCCTCCCCGCATCAGAACATCAGTTCTGAAGCCTGCAGGGCTCTCTGTGGCCCTCTCTGCAGCTCCAAGGCCCTTGAATGTCTATTTGAACTACACACCTGACTTTAAAGAAAAACACCATTTCCAACAATGGGGTGTGTGACCACTGAAAACCCCTCCACTGCTTTCAAAGCCAGTGGAGCAGAACACAAGCTGGACTCCCCGCCTCGGAGTTAAAGTCACAGCTCAGCCCACAGAAGGGAAGGGAGAAACCAGCAGCCTGTGGCTTGCTAAGTTCTGCCCTATGAGCCCTTCCTATTCATGGTGCACCCCTGGCTCAAAACAGCAAGGCCTGACCACAGACCTGGTGATGGGACCCGGGACCGGGAGGGGCTGGCGCCCCTCCCCAAGGGCGTCTATCCATCACTCTGCCCTGACAGCCCGCTTTGCACTCTGCCGCGAGGCAGCTAACATCTCTTTCAGAGGTCCCTTCCCTTCCCCCCACCACAAGCCTCCTCTGTAAAAACCAAAAAGCATCTTGTTCTTTCATCATAATTAAAGTGCTGTCAGGAAAATGGCATGGCTGATTTTTGCTGCAGTTGAAATGACCCTCTCCATTCCTCTTCTCTCATTTGCTAAAGTGGTCCTTCCTTTGCCTGAAATCAGGCCCTTTGGTGATGGAAATTTTAGCTGGAAACAGAGAGTTCTAAGCAGAATCCTAACCTTGGGAGGGTGGGGAGAAAAATCGATGTTTTGAGCTGGCCTTTCTCTGCGGCAAGGTGCCGGCGCAGCCATCTTAATCGGCAGGAGTGCGGCAGCCACCTCTGGTCTCGGATCCATGCGAGGTTTCCTAATTACAAGTCATTGTCAGGGTACACAATTTAGCAAAATTTGGAGGCTGATTCCCCCTGTTGACTTATCTAAGGGGCAGGAGGAAGCTGTTTAGAAGGAAGCAAATAGGTCCTGGATCTGGGAAGATAAGATCCAAGCACCTTTCACACTCAGAGGGAAAGCGTGACTGCGTGTTTAATATTGTCGCCGGCCTGCGTGTTTGTGTGTTTGAAACAAAGCTATAACTTACACGCATAATTAAATGCCCTCCTCCTCCCAGCCGGGTGCTACCGAGCCGCTGGGTGACACACTGCCTGTCACGGACACTGCAGCATTTAGGGCCCTTTCCAAAGTCCTGGCAATGGCACCTCATCTCATTTTGTGAAAATGTCACTCTGATCCTGTTAGCATCACAGAACTTTCTGAAAAGAACATTTCAGGTTGGGAATACATTAACGTTTAAGGAAAAAAAAAAAGAATAAAGGTAAAAAGAAAAAAGAAAGAAAGAAAGAAGAACCCACGGCCCTGAGTAGTTTTGAGCTCTGCCTGGAATCCATGACATATATTCAAATACATATTATGTGAGGAACTCATAATATTCATCCTAGCCTTCAACTACTTACATTTTAAGGAAACTCGCATGTCAGTAGCTTTCAAAATTAGCTTAATTTCCTTTTCCTAAAGATCAAGCATCTTGGAAGGCCCCTTTTGAGTTACACTGGGAGCTTAATTGGCAGGCTTCCGGGTTTCTGTAAGGGTGTGCTAAGATCTGGCAAGTCAAAATGGCAATCCAGGCCTCCCTCGGTTGAATCATTAGTTGTTAATGCACCGCTGAGCAACTCGGAGCTAAGGTGTGAAATCAACCCGAGTATCACTAAGCACCAGCTTCTCCTATGGCTGCAACGCAGGACAGTTGGGGGCTGTGTATGTCACATACTAGCAACAAGGTTGTTTTTGCTGCTTGATTATTTGCTGCCCTGGCCTTCTGCCTCCTTGCTCCTTTCTCCCCACCACCCCTGACTTTTTTTTTTTCTTTTTTAAAGAAAGCAAAGCAACCATATAGTACTCAAGCCTTTTATTTCCTGACTATCCTGGGTGTCATAGCAGTGGATGCTGGACAAAAATATGGGGCTTGTCATTATCAACCTGAGCTGGGAAAGAGTCAGGCACCTGAAGGCTTCCATCTGGACCTGATTCTGCCACTTAGATGGACCTCCCCCGACCCACCACTGCCAAGTGGAACCCAAAAAGGTGCATGGAGAGCTCGGAGGAGGGGCCCCCAAATCCTGGGGTAAAGGGGAAAGAAAGCCAATTTACTGAATTCACTGCACTGGGGATGCCAGGTGGTCAGAGCTGGGCTGGGAGGAACGGGGGTTTGGGCTGGCACAAGGGGTAGGGAGAGAAGTTGATTGCCCAAATGCCCCCTCCTCTGTGCCTCTCCAGTGCCTCCTGCTAGAATTCTACTCTTAAGGACTCCAATATTAAAAATGTGACTCTCTCTGCTTTTTGGCCTCATAGAGCTCTTTATTAAAATGCAAATGTCCCTTAAGGGTAGCCCCCTAAGCCTTTGCCAGCTAATGGGATTAACTGAACAGAACACAGCCACCTGGAGGGAAGAGAAGAGGCCTAGGGCCAAATCTCCACTTCTCAGATTTGCCAAAGGCTCATCTCTGAAGCCCCGAATGCAAAATTCAGGCATCCCTGTTTCAGATCTCCTTGAAAAGGGAATCTGAAGACAAGGCCTGGGTCCCGGCAGTGGCTTCATCTGCTTCCTGAAATTCTCTGAGCCTTGGTGCCCTCATCTCTTTTAAATCATTTCTTTAGGATGGACAACACTTTCAAAGTGTCCCAATAAAAGGGTCCAGATTCAAGAGAGGAGCATCAGGCTGGCCGTGGAAAGTAACTGCACATAGCATTCATTTGCAGAGGCAGCAACTTGTAATAAAGGATATTTTCAAAGTTAACTTGGCCAACTGATTTTTCTGAACTGGCAAACAAGCTTCAGTTTATGTCCTGAAAATGGGTTTTCACCCACATTGATTTCCCAGTGTGCCTCCCAGGGGCAGAGTATTAAAGTGTCACAAACAAAGAGAAGCCAAAACTTAATAATTCTGTAAATCTGAATTTTACTCTTGGAACAAAATCAGTCCCTGTTATCTAGGAGTGCCTTCAAGTCAGTCACCTCCGCAAAAGCCCCTCCCTCGCATCCAAAACATCTCTACCTATCTATTTATCTGTACACGCACACATATTTTCAAAAACACATAAAGGTCATGTGTCACGTGCCGGGCATTACAGGAGTCCTAACGGATCCGACGCACTGTTCCAAGAGTGACGAACAGGGAACTTAAAAGTACTTGTGAAAGGAAAGTTGGAAATAAAATTCTGGAATTAAAAGTGTGTTTTTCTTTCCATAATGACTGGGAATGAATTATCCTACCGGAGTAAAGAATATCTCTACAGTCTTTGCATAAGGGAATGGGAAAAAAGAGGACCAAAGCTCAGGATCTAAGCGAGAGGCTGGGAGCTAAGATGGAGGGCAGCTCAGGACCCAAGATGGAAGACTGGTGCTAACTCGGACAACAGCCGAGAAGCTGAGATGTCAGGCCGAAGCTCAGATGAAAGCAAGCCCTCCATACTACCTTGGGCCCCCTGGCTGCAAACTATCAACATTTTTCCATCCCACCCTCAGAACACAAATCCTAGACATAGAAGATTCTAAGATTAGGTAGAAGAATGTGGGCCCACCCCCTAAGAGAATTTTCACTCCTAGAAGATTCTGGAAGGCATGGTTTGGCTCCAGAGAGAGCAGAAAAGAGAGAGGGGACTGGCTAAAGGCTGCCTTCTGCACCACCCCTGCGCCAGGCCTTCTGAAAGCAAGCCTGCCCTTGGGCTATACCTCTGGGCAAAAGACCTCGCGGGTATCAGGACTGATGCCCTGCCATCACCGAGACCCACACTGCGCCTACAGAAGGCTCGGCTACTGCTCTTCGTGTATAAATTTTTGGCCTCAGCCTGGCACGGAAATCTGAAGGGTTGTGCCTGTCGAATATCTAGACACAGTTGTTTGTTTTGACCCAGGCAGATCCTTCTGGGTTTTCTGCAGGCCTCACAGTAATTTCCTGTAAGCACTGACGGGGTTTGCTCAGCTAGGGTGAAGTGTTGGAAGGTTGCTTAAGTCTCTTTTTTGACAATCATTCCATCTTTTCTTAGCTGCAAATCTACGCCCTATTTATTCACTCAGCAGAGACTCCCCACTCTTGCTAACTTCCAGGGTTTGTTTGATTGTAAGACCACAAAAGGGAGCAGCGACGTCTTATACCTGTGTTTTCCCCATGGAGAAGGGCACAGATTAGGCACTCAATACAGGTATATTGAATGAATGAATGAAGAAATGAAAATGCCCAGATTAAGGCAAACTCACCAGCTCGGCAAGGATTTCATTCTTCTGAGAGGCTTGGCAGACACATGAGTGGCGACTGCAAGCTAAGAGATGCTACTAGAAAGGCAAGAAGGAAACAAGGCTATTTCGATGTCCAGTATAACCCCCAAATTAGGAAATAACTTATCAGTGAGGCAAAATGGGTGCATCTCTACCAAGAACTGGGCAGGATTCCATGGTCTTTGCCAAGTTGGACACAATCTAATATGAGGTAAACCTCAGACCAGCCAATAGTCAAAAATTTGAAAAATTAATTCGTGACAACTGTTTTCATTTGGAACCATGATATTCCTCAATGAGGCATGTCATCATGTGCTCAATTCCCATTAAACACTTCCCGACAACCCTTCTTTCTTTTTTTCTGAGGAACAGCCACGACCCTCTCCCCTCAACAATTCCTAAAGGTCACTGAAGGCCTGTTTTATAAACATATTTGCGGCGAGTTCCTTTTCTTGGCTATTAGAACAGCAATTGTCCACCCCCGCCCCAGGCCCCTAATCGGCCATTTTGCTAAGTCTCAAAGCAATACAAATCGAGCTCAAATCAATTAGCAACACATTTCTAACTCTTGGCGCTCAGGAAGAGCGGAAGAGCGGGAGAGCGGGAACTTGCCCTGGTGGAGAGAAGCTAAACCTCGAGAAGGAACTGAACGGCCACCCTTGCCAACTGCTTCTGCCTCTATGGGCTGTGTGGGTTTTTCTGTTTGTTTTTAAGACAAAAACTTGGGAGAATGGGGTCCTACCACAACAAATTAGGACAAGCCTTTAATTTTATTTTTTCACTTGAGCTAATGAATAAAGCGCGGGACAGAGGCAGCTGACGGGATATTTTCCCCACTCACGCCAGGAAGCTGAAGGTCTGCTCTGGGGAGCTGCTCCGTTTGCAGCCTGAGCGATGGGATCCGGCGCGACATTCATTCTCAGCCCCCCTCCCCCCTGGGCCCCCCCGGCACAGAGCCATCAATCTTGCCCGTCTCCTCCTGCAGAATCGACCCCCCCAACCCCTCACTCCTCCTTACTGAAGAGAATTGTCTCCCTCTCTAATGAACGTACCCAGGAGAATAAAACTTGTTTTTCAAAAGGGGGGGAAGGAAGAAAGGAAGGAAGGGAGGAAGGAAGGAAAAAAAAAGAAAACAATGCCTTTACTGGCCTGGCTGGAGCCAAATTCTCGAGGACATCAACCTGTAAACTTCTAAGGATTTCCTCAACATCTGAGATGGATACTCACGTACAGGCTGTTTGCTTTTAACTTTAGGATTTGCTTTGTTTTGTTTTGAGTAATTAATAAATCAAAGAACTCATGAAGAT